GATTTGACTTCCACTTTTTAAAAGATGCCTTTTTATCTCTCACTGCTTCTTTTACATGGTTGTTAAGCCACGGTGGCTCTTTTTTAGTTCTTTTTTTTTTTTTTAAATTTGGGGTATACATTTAAGTTGGGCCTGTATTATGGTGTCTTTGAAAAGCGTCCATGCAGCTTGCAGGGATTTCACTCTAGTCACTGTACCTTTTAATTTCTGTTTAACTAACCTCATTTTTGCATAGTTCCCCTTTCTGAAATTAAATTCCTCAGTTTTGGGCTGTTGAGATGTTCTTCCCACCACAGAAATGTTAAATGTTATTATATTATGGTCACTATTTCCAAGCGGTCCTGTTATAGTTACCTCTTGGACCAGATCCTGCGCTCCACTCAGGCCTCAATCGAGAATTGCCTCTCCCCTTGTGGGTTCCTGTACCAGCTGCTCCAAGAAGCAGTCATTTAAAGTATCAAGAAATTTTGTCTCTGCATTTCGCCCTAAGGTGACATGTACCCAGTCAATATGGGGATAATTGAAATCCCCCACTATTATTGAGTTCTTATTTTGATAGCCTCTCTAATCTCCCTTAGCATTTCATTGTTGCTATCACTGTCTTGGTCAGGTGGTCGATAATAGATCCCTACTGTTATATTATTAGAGCATGGAATTACTATCCATAAAGATTCTGTGGAACATATGGATTCATTTAAGATTTTTACTTTGATTCTACATTTTCTTTCACATATAGTGCCCCCCCACCCCCCCGCACGACCTGTTCTGTCCTTCCGATATATTTTGTACCCCGGAATGATTGTGTCCCATTGGTTGTCCTCACTCCACCAGGTTTCTGTGATGCCTATTATATCAATATCCTCCTTTAACACGAGGCACTCTAGTTCACCCATCTTATTATTTAGACTCCTTTGAGTAAAACCCTTTTCCCTTGTGATGAGAAAGGACTGGCTCTATTGTTCCTAACTGAAGGAGAGAGTTCAACTTCTTGTCTCAGTAAAAGCTGAGGGATCCCTTAAAAGGGATGGGGAAGAGGGTGGAAGGGAGGGAAGGACGTAAAATGGATGATACAGCCCAACATTATGACCTCTGAGACCCATTCATTTGCAGTGATCTGCCTCCAAGCATGCTGGAAATGAGAAAGGTGGTCTCCAAAGGGGATGGGGTGGGCAAATGGATGCAGCTGTAAAATCAGAAGCGTGGAAGGATTTGAACCCTTGACTGACCTGTCAAAACTGTTGCTTTGAAGATGACTGGGTGATCTTGTAAGGCTGGTGAGCAGCCCTCTTTCTCTGAAATGTAAGTCTTTTCCTGGAGGGTTCAGTAGATGTATAGAATGCAGAAAACAGAGCAGGATGTGATCTCTGGGCAGTCTATGACCTACTAACCCGTCTCTTATTTGTAGGTATATACATATATACTCAGGGATTGTTCAATAGCCCTAGAGTCCTTCAGTACATTCAAGGACTTATCTGTGGTCTCTGAGAAAAGCTTAAGACCGTCAAAGCGGAGGTCCTCAGCAGTGTTCTGGAATTCTCTCGGACACCCCAAGAGCTGGAGCCATGATCCCCTGCACATAACTATCACTGTGGAGATGGACCTGGCAGCAGTATCTGCAGCATTCACAGATGCTTGAAGAGCAGTTCTGGACAATAATTTGCCCTCTGAAATGATGAACTGGAATTGCTCCATATGTTGTTGCAACAGATGTCCAATAAAAGCAGTAAACCTATTATAGTTTGAAAAATTATATTTGGCCATGACCACCTGATAGTTCGTGATCCTGAATTGTAGGATTGCTGACTAGTGGAACTTCCATCCAAAGAGATCTAGTCTCTTTTGGTCTTTGTCATACGGGGTAGACTTGGAAAAGTGTTGCTTACCCCACTCATTTACCACATCCACCACCAGGGAGTTAGGTGGAGGGTTGGGGAACAAAAAATGGGAGTCTGTAGGGGAAACATAATACTTCTTATCTGTTTGCTTACCTGCTGGCAGAACAGTAGTAGGCGTCTGCTACCCTGTCTTATCTGGATCTAGGAGCACCTCATTAATGGGTAACACAACTCTAGAGTGTGTTGCTGACTGCAGAATATCCAGCAGTTTGTGCTATGAGTCCTTGATCTCTTCAAGTGGAATTTGAAGAGCGTCAGCTATCCTTTTCATGAGGTCTTGAAATTGCCGAAAATCCTGGGCCATGGAAAGTGGCAGAGGCATAATCACTTGGTTTGGAGTCAAGGATGAAATAAGTGTTTGAGGGGTGGCCTCTTTATCTGCCCTGATCTCCTGCTCCTCCAACATCTCATCCTGTGTGGGAGCTGACTGGGGAGGAGAGGATTGTATGACTCTAGCCTCCCTATGAGACAGTGTCAGTGAACTGGTAAATTGCTGCTGATAAGCAGTCCAGAGGTCCCAGTATAACAACTGGGGGTGGGGGGGCCATAGAGGAGTGGGGGTGGCATGCAGGGTTGGTTCCACCACCTTAATGACAAGCATGATCTTCCCTGTGACTGTTAAAAAAATAGGTTTCTGAAAGGACGTGTCGGAGAACACTGAACAAAAATGAAAGAGACCAACTAGAAGTCTCCTTCATCCTCCCCAATATCGTCCAAAGGGCACCAAAGGACATTGGAGATCTGGAGATCAGAATCTTAGTACCAATAGATAATCAGTACCCATGAAGAGTGGGGACTCTGATTTGTCCATTACAAACAGGTCCTTTGCGTATCTGAACTCGTGTGGCCATTACTAAGGCCTTGGCTACACTGGCGCTGTACAGCGCTGCAACTTGCTGCGCTCAGGGGTGTGAAAATGCCCCCCCCCGGAGCGCAGCGAGTACAGCGCTGTAAAGCGCCAGTGTAATCAGAGCCTGCAGCTACTCCACTCGGAGAGGTGGAGTACATACAGCGCTGCGAGAGCTCTCTCGCAGTGCTGGCGGTGCGACTACACTCGCGTTTCACAGCGCTGCCACGTCAGCGCTGTGAAGTCCCGAGTGTAGCCAAGGCCTAACAGATAGAGCCTCTCAGCAGTAAAGGCAGCATTTAAAACCTGGTGAGCCAAGCATGCCCTGACAGGAAAATAAGGCTCCCCGAGGAGGGAGAGAGAAAGGAACAAAACAATTCTCTCACTAATTATCTCTACTTAATTATCTCTAACTGTAATTATCACTCATACTAACTAATCCTAACAAACAACTATAGGAAAGCAGAAACAGGATGGCTCAGGCATGCTCAAGGTGTACAAGCTAGGGCTCTGTCTCAGGCCAAGGCAGTTGAGAAAGAGCTGAGGGCAGTTCACCCGTGCACCCCTACCTAGCCTCAATGTCCAGCACAAGGAGACACAGGCAGTGTATGCAGGAAAAACGGATAATGCTAAGGGAAAAATCTCTGATCAAGGGCTCAAAAGGGGCACACACACACGAAGTGGAGCACCAATAGGTACACTACTCAAAGAACCACCATGGGATGTGCCTCCAGAAATCCTAGCTCCTCACGTGAATGAGTGGAGCACCAGTGTGGATACAGTAAAGTATGGCTTTGCCATACGGCTGCTAGTACCTGGGTGCCAATCACCTGAGTTAACTCTGCAGGGAAGACACACCCTGAATGAAGTTGTTGGGACAGCTGGTGAGGTATGGGCAATGTACTAGGAGCACAGACACAACACCAAGCTCTCAGTTGCCTTTGTGTCAGTAAACAGCACTACTCTCTAACTTTCTCGATGACTAGCCAAAATCCTCCCTTGGATAAACACCAGCTGGCTAAAGCTTGAGGTGATTCCTTTAGGAAAAGGGAAGTAGCTTGAAGAACTTGTCTCCTCTAACATCCCCAACTGTCAATGGCACCTGCCCTCTGAGGATTAAACTAGCCCACAGCTTCATGGTCCTTTTGGACTCCTCCTTGTTAGTGGATGCCCAAAGAGCTATGCCAGCAAAAACCATCCACTTCTATCTGTGACAGTCCAGAAGTTTGCACCCCCCCTTATCAGACACAGACTTGGCCACAGTGAAGCACACTTTCCTAAATTCCTGGCTTGGTAATTGCAATTTATATTCGGAATAAGCCATATACCCTGAAAAACCTCTCTGGTATAAATTGCTGCAGCCTGTCAGTTTAGCAACACAACTCACCATGAACAAACCACCCTAGTGCTTTGATCTCAGTGTGATGGCTGTGGAACTGCCATATAATAACCTAAGAATACTGAGATGTAATAATTTTATGAACACTGTATAGGACCTGCTCAGTAATGGGAAGTTACTGTACATTGGATTATAAGACTTTCTTGCAGGAATCCATTGATCTAGCCTAATAGGGGACAATGGGGAAAATGAGCAGGAAAGCAACAAAATGGATCCAGATAAGGAACCTCCACACAAAACACTTGGGGGACAATTACAAGAAAATGGGGGAACTGTTAGCCTTGAGGAGCCTATATCCTGTCTCCAACAAAGATACAAGATTTGTTTTGCCAGGCAGGGAGCCCAGAGATCAAAAGGACACTAAACAAGAGAAGAACGGTAAAGCTCAATTATCAAGGGCTGTCCAAGGGGACAGGCTGATACAAAGAGAGACTCTGGGTATGTCTACACTACAAAATTAGGTCAATTTTATAGAAGTCGATTGAGTATGTCCCCACTAAGCGCATTAAGTCGGCTGAGTGCGTCCTCACTACCGTAGCTAGCATTGACTTACAGAGCGGTGCACTGTGGGTAGCTATCCCACAGTTCTCGCAGTCTCCACCGCCCATTGGAATTCTGGGTTAAGCTCCCAATGCCTGATGGGGCAAAAACATTGTCGCGGGTGCTTTTGGGTACATGTCATCAGTTGCCCCTCCCACCGTGAACGCAACGGCAAACACGCCTTTTTCCTGGGTTACCCATGCAGACACCATACCATGGCAAGCATGGAGCCCGCTCAGCTCACCGTCACCGCTGCTGTGGGCAAGTCTACTGTGGGGGCTGCTGTGATCCAAGTAGCCAATGCAATCATTGACATTCTGTTATCAAGGGTAGTGACTCTGGGAAATGTGCAGGCCTTTTTAGATTTTAGGTGTATCGTATTCCTGTCCTTTGTTGTTGGTGAAGAAGTCTTGCAGCCCTACGTTCCAGTCTGGTCGGCACTGTAACACCCCATAGCACTTCTGTGGTTGACACATGTAACAGTTCCAGGGCTCTTGCTCTTTTGCCTTGGCCGAGGTACCTTGCCCTACCAGGACCTCCAAGCATTCGACACAGAAGCACCTGCAGCAACTGGCATTGCTACACAGCAGCAGCTCCTTGCCTTTGCAGCAGACAGTACAGTAGGACTGGTACCCGTCCTTGTCGTACATGTCAAAGAGCTCCAGGAATTGATCCCTGCAAGTCTGGCAAAGGTCCCCCTCAAACAGCGGGTGGAATGTGACTGGGTTTTTTCTCCCGCACGATAAACAACCGTCTTCAAGGCTCCTGTTGTTGTTTGTGACTTTGGAAACCATTTGCTCTCTGCTCTGGTTCTGGGAACGTCTTTCCTGCCCGGCTCCTAGCAACCTCCAGGGCATGGTGTATGGCTCGTCGATAGGAGACCAGCTTATTAAATGTGGAGTGGTTGAAATGCTGCCTAAAAGCCATCAGACCCACCAGCTTGTCTGCTGAAACTTCGGAGAACTTCCCGTCCCCAAACCATTGCACCCAGTGCATTCCAGAGATTGCCTGACGTTTGGACGTGACTCTGTAGGAGATGATGATTGCAGGCCACCAGGAGAAGCCCTTGATCTTCCCCCACATGAGCTCCCCAATTCCAAAATCTTTCACATCCTGATATTTCACCTCTTCCCCGGCAACTCTGCTCTCCTGCTCCCCATCAACAAGTTTGGGGGATCCGTTCTGGTCCTCCTGGCAGACGTGGTACTGCTGCTCTGGGATCCTTGGAATCCTCCTCAGTGAGGTCGATCAGGGGCGCCTGGACAGACATGGCCATCCTCTTCTTAGAGCACCAAATGGGAGCCAGAGACTCCAGGTCATTCTCTTCTTTAAGTTTCGTCTCATGGAGATTCAGTCCTGCTTAGAATATCATGCGAGTTGGAGGCTTCTGCCTCAGGCTGCTCTCCCAGCCGGCAGCACTGCACAGTCGCACCTACCCCAGCCTACTCCTTGCTCCCATGGCTCATGAAGCCTGGACAGTAGCAAGGAGCAGTTCAACTATAGGCTGAGCAAGTGCAGAATGGTGGTAGAATGTGCCTTTGGACGTTTAAAAGCTCGCTGGTGCTGTTTACTGACTAGGTCAGACCTCAGCGCAACCAACATTCCCATTGTTATTGCTGCTTGCTGTGTGCTCCATAATATCTGAGAGAGTAAGGGGGAGATGTTTATGGCGGGGTGGGAGGTTGAGGCAAATTGCCTGGTGTCCGATTTTGAGCAGCCAGACACCAGGGCAATTAGAAGAGCACAGCAAGGCGCACTGCGCATCAGAGAGGCTTTGAAAACCAGTTTCATGACTGGCCAGGCTTCGGTGTGACAGTTGTGTGTGTTTCTCCTTGATGCAAACCCGCCCCCTTTGTTGATTTTAATTCCCTGTAAGCCAACCACCCTCCCCCCTTCGAAATAAAGTAACTATTGTTTTGAAACCATGCATTCTTTCTTTATTGATTAAAAAAAGTGAGATAACGGACAAGGTAGCCCAGGTGGGGTGGGGGAGGAGGGAAGGACAAGGCCACATTGCTTATTGTAGCCACGCTAAAAATCAAGCTGTTTGAATGAAAGACTTCTGTTGCTTGGGCTATCCTCTGCAGTGGAGTGGCTGGGTGCCCGGAGCCTCCCCCCCCCCCGCCCCCGCGTTCTTGGGCGTCTGGGTGAGGAGGCTATGGAACATAGGGAGGAGAGTAGGCAGTTATACAGTGGATACAGTGGGGGTCTGTGCTCTTGTTGGCTTTCCTGCAGCTCCAACAGACGCTTCTACATGTCCGTTTGCTCCCCCAACAAATGCTTCATCATGTCCGTTTGCTCCCCCATTAGCCTCAGCATCACGTCCTGCCTCCGCTCTTCGCGCTCACTTAATTCTTTCCTGGCCTCTGACACTGAATGCCTCCATGCATTAAGCTGTGCCCTATCAGTGCGGGAGGACTGCATGAGCTCGGAAAACATGTCATTGCAAATGCGTTTTTTTTGCCTTCAAATCTGCGATAACCTCAGGGATGGAGATGATAGGGGGAGCGTAGAAACATTCTACGCTCTACGATTCTAGGGGGGACTGCATGGTCACCTGTGCTGCTGAGTTCGCCACGCTGACCAAACAGGAAATGAAATTTAAAAGTTCCCGGGGCTTTTCCTGAGTACCTGGCAAGTGCATGGGAGTTCAAAGTGCTGTCCAGAGCGGTCACAATGGAGCACTCTGGGATGGCTCCCAGAGGCCAATACCGTCCATTTGCGTCTGCAGTACCCCAAATTCAACCCAGCAAGGTCGATTTTAGCGCTACTCCCCTCGTTGGGGAGGAGTACAGAAGTCAATTTTAAGAGCCCTTTAGGTCGACGGAACGTGGGTGCACGCAGTCATTTTTAAATCGACCTAATGCAGCTAAATTCAACCTAATCCCGTAGTGTAGACCAGGGCTCTGTGAATAGAGCCTGAAGAAACTGGGCCTTCCCCACATCCAGGGTATAGTAAGCCTTAGGGAGAAGCAGGTACACGTAGATACAGGATTACTGTTGTAAGATCTCAGAGTAGCAGCCGTGTTAGTCTGTATCCGCAAAAAGAAGAACAGGAGGACTTGTGGCACCTTAGAGACTAACAAATTTATTAGAGCATAAGCTTGTTGTAAGATCTGTTTTTCTGAAATGCTTTTGTTCTAAATAATCATTTGCTTTAAGAATGCTGTTTGGTCAGTGGGTATCACTGTCAAAACTCCTGGAGAGAAATTAACTGCAAGTACTGAACCCAAGTCAGGTCTGCTGAGGTAATCACAAGTGACTGCAGCCCAGGACCTGGTTAGTGAGTAGGAGAATGGCTTGATTCCACGCCAAGTCAAGTGATGGTGGGTGCATAACTGGCTGGATAACCGTACTCAGAGAGTTGTTATTAACGGTTCGCAATCCTGCTGGAAAGGCGTAACGAGTGGGGTTCCGCAGGGGTCTGTTTTGGGACCGGCTCTGTTCAATATCTTCATTAACGACTTCGATATTGGCATAGAAAGTACGCTTATTAAGTTTGCGGAGGATACCAAACTGGGAGGGATTGCAACTGCTTTGGAGAACAGGGTCATAATTCAAAATGATCTGGACAAATTGGAGAAATGGTCTGAGGTAAACAGAATGAAGTTTAACAAAGACAAATGCAAACTGCTCCACTTAGAAAGGAAAAATTAGTTTCACACATGCAGAACGGAGACTGTCTAGGAAGGAGTACAGCAGAAAGGGATCTAAGGGGTA